TTTGAGCTGTAATCTCACTCTGTCGCCCAGGCTGCAGTGCAGTGCTAACCTCCCGGCCACCGCAGCCTCGACCTGCTGGGCTCCGGCGATCCTTCCGCCTCAGCCTTCCAAGTAGCTGGCACGCACTACCACACCCGGCTAATTTTTGATTTATCGTAGAGATTTATTTAAGGTCTCTCCAAGTTGCCCGGTTGGGTCTCGAACCCGCAGGCTCAGGCACTCACCTCGACCTCCCAAAGTGCTGGTTACAGGCTATCCACCAAGCCTGGCTACACCGTATTTCTTTTACAGGCATGTAGTATAGCAGCTCTTGAGTTAATTTATGCTTCTCTGGTCTTATGAGTTAAACTTGTTAAAAATTATAGATCTTAGGATGTGGTTCAAATTTTCGAATCTGATTTTTTGGCATCATCATATTTTTAGTGTAATACTTTCCCTGTCATTCTATCTTATCCTCTACTTCTAGTAGAAGAAATAATGTCAGTGCTCTCGTGTCTTTGAATTGTCCAAATCAAGACATTAAAATCATAATCACTAAAGATGCCTTCCTAGTTTCTTCTGATGCACAAATAAAGAACATTAGGCTGTAGTGTCTGGGTTTGAAATGTTTAATGGTTCCTTCACAACTTGGATACCCCTTTCAGGACAAAAACAGATTTAAAATTCATAGCCCTTAACCAAATTCATAACCCTTAACCAGTAAGACCCATACACTATCTTCTTCTGATGGTTTTCTGACATGTGTTTATGCTTGTATTTGTTTCTTATTTCCTCAAGTCATAATTCCAGTAAAAATCTTTTGCTCTTTGTTTTCCCAAGAGTTTTGATTCACTCTCTGTAGTTTCTACCCATAGGCATAGTGTCTTGTCCTTGTGTTCCTCAACAATATTTCAGTCCTTACCATGCTACAATTTTGGCTTTGTTTACACTCTGTCTCTGCTGTTCTATGAAGCAAAACAAAATTGCTCAGAGCCTGGAACTCTTCCCAGGTCTACGATATGATCCCAATTAACTATTGCTAATTTCTGACTTTGGTAGAGTTGATAAGGGTATAATTGTAATTGATTCCATTGAGTAACAAAGGCTAGGTTTCTATACGCCCCTATATTTTCCTGGATTTTAGCATATCTTAGATACCTTGATTCTGACAGATTATTGTTGGCTAAATGTTTAATGATTTGGTAATTACTCATAAAATCTAAATATATTATAAAAATAGAAAAAATAAATAAGAACAATTGAATACATTTTAAAAGAAAAAGTAGATTATGGAAGCTAAGATGAACATACGTCATGAAATACAAATAAAAAAAGAATACTATGTTAGTCAAATAAATATTTTAAAATAACTAGCAATCACACTATTGAGAAATATATTGGAAATATAATGGAAATGTAGAATAATTTGGTAAGACTATCACTAGTCCAGTAAGATAGAACACCTTTTAAAATAATGTCTGAATGTATATTTTATGAGTATATTAGAAATAATTAGCTTTTCTCTTCTTTCCTTATGCTTTTTTTTAATAACCTAAAAAGTTTCTCTTCTGAGAAACAAAAGTCCAAAGAGAATTTAATTTCTTTGCTGAATAACACTTAATCACACAGCCTGTTGCACATCAGTTTCTCATAGCTTCTGATGCTTTGTATGGGCTCCACACTGTGGAAGTCAGGAAAGGTATTTTTAAATACCACAGTCACAAATCCACAAACATGAATAACATACTCAGAAACTCTTTTGGTGGTATGACAGGAAACTAAGTCCAGGAGTCAGGCATTCCTTGCAAACAGTTATTCCTTTATTTGAGAAACCAATGGAAGTACTAATAAATTTAACTCACTGTGTTCAGCACTTACTATTGGAGGCAGAAATTAGATTCCTTCCCAATAATTTAACTCTAACCATAAATATATAGAAAGACCCTCCCCCAAAAAACCAAGTGTACATGTCATTATTTAAGAAAGATCACATTTTTTTGTTTTCGACAATTATATGTATGTATGTATGTATGTGTCTATTTATAAACATATATTCACCTGGCATCATTTCAAATGTACTGATCTATATTTTTATTCAATTAGTCACTGGCAATAACTAATTCTAGAACAATTCCTATTGTCCCATTCTCTTTCCATTCTCCCCTAACCTACACACCATAGATTTTATTTGCGGGAAACTGTGATAACTTTAAGCTGAGAAATTTTCTCTGTCATTTACATTTTATGCCATATGTAGTATAAAGCTTTATTCTAACTTTGTAAAGTACTTTTGGATTTTTTGTGGCCTTCTCAATTTTTCAACAGAAAAACTTTTAAATTTACATAACTAAACTTTCATACACATCCATGTTCGAAAAAAACAGTATGCTCAAAGGTTTTAAGGGAATTTTGAAACATTGGCACCAAGATGACGATCCAAAGTCTGTGAATTACTAAGACACTATTTACTCTTCCATGAAATAGGGATGACAGCAATAACATTATTTGTGAGAGTAATTGTGGATTGTCTGAGCCCACGGGTTCGAGACCCGCCTGGGCAACTTGGTGAGACCTCATCTCTACAATAAATCAAAAAATCAGCCGGGCATGGTAGGGAGTGCCTGTAATTCTGGCTACTCGGAAGGCTGAGGCGCAAGGATCGCCAGAGACCAGCAGGTTGAGGCTGCAGTGGCCGGGACTGGCCACTGCACTCCCGTCTAGGCAACAGAGTGAGACTCCAACTCAAAAAAAAAACAGAATTAGCAATAAATAAATTCTCACTACTGTTAAGAGAAAAATAACAGGACTAGAAGTTTTGCAATGTTCTTTCACTATAACTTTTATTAAGCATTATTTAGCTAATTATTTAAACATATGAAGTTGATTAAAATAGAAAGTTTGTCAGATAGAAAAGAGAAGAAATTAAGAGAGAGAAAATAAAGTGAAATGGCATATAGATGGACACTCCAAAGTGAGGAAAATGAATGACAGTGGCAAGTGTAACATGCATACTTACGGAGTTGCCCAAGTCGAGCTTTTTCTTTTTTACCAAACAAACGTCCTATTGAAGACTTGATTCCTTTCTTTTTGGGGGCTTTATGAAGAGAATCTTGGCTGCTGTTGGCACTACCAAGCCCAAGGCTGTCTGGCTCAAGAGAGGCAGATAAACTACTGCAAAACACAAAAGGAGGCAAAGCTACTCATTTTGATGCAACATCCACAAGGTATACAAGATATTTCTTTAATAGTTGTACAAGAGAAGGAACAAGTAGACTTTGCATACTATTTTTTTCTCTTTTTTCCTATATTTCCCTTTAAGATAATAAGTGTAGTTTTCTCAGGCTCAGGGTCCAGATCTTCCAAGTTTTCACTAGAAAAAAAATTTTTTGTTCCAAATGACTTTTTTTTCTTTACTTTGTATACAATCTCAGACTAATCAATAAACATGGGAAGATTTATCAACTGAATGTTGAATGGCCATTTACTATTTAGCTCTTGATCCACTATCTATTTTTTCTTGGTTTGTTTAATCTTAAACATAATGACCGGGAGTGGGGCACTACCCTGATGAAGAATTATGGCTCAAGCAAAATTTTTCATCTAAATTTTTAAGCAATCATTTGACAAAACTGAAGGAACAGGAATATTTTTGGAAGAGTGAATTCTGTGTGCCTCAGAGTTGTACCTTCGGGCATCATTGTGGTAGGAAGAAGGGAGAGTGTGAGTCATTCTGATGGCTCTAGGGGTGGGAGGAGGAGAAGTTTCACATTTAATGGTTGCTTTATCCTCCCGACCGTCTTCTTCCACCACTGCAATCTAGAAGTAAAAACAATACATTCAAATGAACTCTCTAAATTTTAACTGAAATGGATACATATAAAAAAATCATTAAAGCAAGGCTATGTGCGTAACTTTAATGCAAAATAAAACAGAAGAACAAAACTTGAAGCATACAAGTCTTCCATATATGAAGTCTCACTATTAATGAGTGTGATTTTTCACAGCTATTTAAATGTGAAGACACTACAATTAAAAAATCATGAACCGCTACACAAAAATGCTGTTTGAATAATACACACCATAAATCAAGATTCATCAGCTATGAGGCAGTTATCCTGAAATTCATTTGTAAAGAAGGTAAACTCTTTACAAAAAGGTACTGACATATTTGAACAAATTCACTAAAAAATAAAACACTATGCACAGTCATGTTTTCATAACAATGACATAACAAAGGCAATGACATTAAAATCAAAGATTTTGAAATGAGAAGTTGACAAAAATATAGCGTTACCAGATAAAATGTTTTAAATCAGTCTAATGAAATGTATTCCAGGATGTTTAAAAAATATGTTGAAGTTTAGAAGAGCAGAAAAACTTTCTATTTAGAGTGAGACCAATAAAAGGTAAAAACATAATTTTTTCAAATTGTTTCTTTTCACTACCATAATGGAAACATTGGCAAGGACATGCAGAAAACCAAAGAAGATGGGAAGGGAGAGATTTCTTTAAAGAACAATTTAGTTCAGAATGCAGAACAACTCAGCTGTCATTTTGGTTGGAAATAGAGATACAGAGCTGTAATAAAAGAAAAAATATCTTTCCAACAGTCAAGTTCATTGCAGATAAATATTTTCACAACAACATTGTATTTTTTTATGGGGTAATTGTGTATTACTATATAAGTATACAGAGAGAGCAAGATTGTAGAAAACAACTAAAAGATGTATGGTTTTGAAAGTTCTGATGATAAAAGTTCTCAGTATGGCTAAAGCAAAAACTTTAAAGCTGTGTTCTGGGGAACTGTCTTGTTTTTTTCTGTGTAAAGCTATTATGCATAAATGTGTTTATCTATGATAAAGACCTCATGCCTTGGAGAAACTTAATGAAATTTCTGTCGGGGCTTTTGTTACCAAACCAACATTACTTTAAACAGTTTAGATAGGCATTTTTAATACGATTCTTTCTCTCCATTCAACTAGCATAGTGCCACCAGGAGACTTTTTCAAGAACCGCTTTTAGATGGGTCCAAACCTATTTTTCTCTTTATTCTTACATAATCAAAAACAAAAAACAAAGCAAACAAATCAACTTCTACGGTCCTCCCTGCCAAGCAAACTATACTTTATCCCAAGGTCAGCTCTTAAAAATATCATATACAAAAATTTTCTGTGAGCTGGGCTCGGTGGCTCAGCCTGTAATCCCGTGCCTTTGGGAGCCTGAGGTGAGTGGATTGCCGGAGCCCACGGGTTCAAGACCCGCCTGGGCAGCAAGACCTCATCTCTACAATAAATCAAAAAATCAGCCGGGTGTGGTAGCGCATGCCTGTAATTCCGGCTACTCGGAAGGCTGAGGCGGAAGGATCGCCGGAGCCCAGCAGGTCGAGGCTGCGGTGGCCGGGAGCGGCCACTGCACTCCAGTCTGGGCGACGGAGTGAGACTCCAACTCGGGGAAAAAAAAAATTAAGAAAGAAAAGAAAGACATTTAACTTGGTAAATTCGATAGCTAAGAACCAATTGGTAGTGTTAAAGAGAAGATGCTACAGGAAAATAGAAAATGGCTCAAGAAAAGAAGAAACCCATTAATTTAAGCAGGGTATGCATTATATGGACTTTCTTTTTTTTTTGAATTGGAGTCTCCTCGGTCGCCCAGACTGGAATGCAGTGGCCGCTCCCGGCCACCGCAGCCTCGACCTGCTGGGCTCTGGCGATCCTTCCGCCTCAGCCTTCCAAGTAGCCGGAATTACAGGCATACGCTACCACGCCCAGCTGATTTTTTGATTTATTGTAGAGATGAGGTCTCGCTGCCCAGGCGGGTCTCGAACCCGCGGGCTCAGGCAATCCACTCACCTCAGCCTCCCAAAGGCGCGGGATTACAGGCTGAGTCACGGAGTCCGGTTGGACTTTCTTAATTTAAAAGAAACAACAACAAAAAGAAGTCCTGTGGTCCCAAAAGTGTTTGGGCATAGGCTGACTACCACATCCTCCAGATGCTAGAGAATAGATTTATGCACGGAAGAGTAGGTTGAATCTTTCCTAATATCCCATGAATACAAGCTCTGCTATTCTCAATTATGTAATAAGATGCTACCTTGTGAATCAGAACTGGGGTCCATGTTGCTTCCCATAGCCCATATTTATTATCTTGATTTCATTTCAAACAGGAAAGTCATGTTTGAACTATATTCTCTTGCCTTCCATATTCTTAAAGCTCTAACATCTCAAAAGACTGCTCCTGCTAGGTATACTGGAGATGGCAAATCACTCCCTAATAGACGTACTTTTCATATACAAACCAACCTACTGGAGTCCATGTTCTGAATCTTCTCTACCTGGCTCAAACACTCCAGGAGGTAATATCCATCTGCCCTAATCACCCCCGAGCCAGGGCAAGATATCTAGAAACAGTCCCTATATCCTAGAGCCAGCAGGAATTATGCAAATGATCAGTCCTAAACCGGCTTACCATGCCTTGCCTTGTTGTTTCCCAAAGATATTTTAAAAAGGCTTCTGTTCATGCTTTCCCCTTGCTCCTTCTGCCTCCTGACAGACCCTTATGAGTCACTGAAGAATGGAGTGCCCCTTCTCTTGGAAATTGTGGGTAACAGACTATATTTTGACAGTTGTCTCTTGATCTGTTGGCCTCACCGTATCTAAATAAGACTAATAAAACTAACATTCTAAAAAATCAACATTGTTCTATTTATTTTACATACTCTCAATATTACTTTTTTATATTAATACAATACTGTAACCAAAAGGAGTATTATTTTAAAGTTTTCATAGAATAAAAAATATTCACCGAGTAGTAATCATATAAAGGTTATTTACAGTACCTTTCTCCGATGTTTCCTTAGATCGCTTGGCTGTGATTGGCAATAATAAAAACAACATAAAACAGAACTAATTAATGATTACCATTTGACCACGTTATAAGTTTAAATAGTATCTACAACTTGGCTGCCATTTTTTTTTTCTTCATTCCATCCTTTTCTAGATAAAACTTTTAGTCATTATAGAACCACTCTTCCTGGTAGCTACTTTAGAGAAGGAATCTCTCAAATAAAATGGATCAGGGACATGTCTCCATGGTGGGGCCATGTGGCAACATTGAATATGAGGCATAGACCTTGGGCAACAGCACAGAGAGTTAGAGTGAGTGAGTCTAGCCAGAAGAGTGAACTAGCCAGAAATAAATTTGGGACTATGTCCTTCCAAGAAAATATAGATGAGAATGAAGACACAATGCATATATATGGAGTTTATAACACACTCTTGTGCTCCATCCATGTAGATCCTTGAGCTCCTTTTGAGCAGGTATGCTGGTCCTGGTGGCTCTCAAATTTCCTGGCATCCTAATAACTTTCCCCACCCTCACAAATGCCAAAAGCTCTGGTATCAGCATAACATGTTTCTGGAGCTGCTGCTTACTTGTTCATGCTCTTTTACACAATTTTTCAAAATAGACACATTTTAGTCATTCCAAATGAAGCTTATTCACTTAATATCTTTGTTCATTTTTCATACATAAGTAAAAAAAAAATTTGTTAAATGATTCCATTTGCTTTATATTTTTGTTGTTAAAGGGAAATACGTTGATTTTGCCCTATTCAATAATCTAAGCAGATATTGCTAGCATATTATTATATTTATACTTATGGATTTGTTGTGAGATAAAAGCAAATACAAGTATGCTTTATTATAAGGACAAAAGAATAATATTTGTGAGTTGTTAAACAATTTAACTAAGGCAGTGTCTTTTCAATTTCTAATTTTCTGTTCCCCAAAATTCTAATCTTCTTCTAATATAAAATATAAATTATATTCAACAAAATTATTTTTCCTCTAATATTTCCTACAGGTGAAAGAATATCTACCTGTGATTCACTTTAAAAATAACAAGTTTGGTGACAGAGTTATATCAGGTGGTAAAGACTTCCTGGATTTCATTTCTTGCTTTTCTGACTTAGATTCTGAACATTTTAAATATTTCTTTCCTCTTCAGAAAATTTCCTATTTTTTTTAGCACTCTAATTACAGTGAAATAACACTCATTTACCACAGATGTATGGATGACTAACTGCTCAAGTAAATACGTGAAAATATTGGAATCTTTTTCACATAAACAAGTATAAATTACATCTAAATGACTATAAATATATTGTTTTATTATAAAAATAATAACACATCAAGAGTTATCATACTAATGTTTATTTAAATTATTAAAAGGACAAAATACTTCGTTGTAAAATTTTAAGAAATAAAAACGGTATAGAAATAACCAAAGTATCCCTGCCTTGAATGCTGACTAAATTGTGCTCTGTAGTCCAAGACTCTTATTGTAGCTTTAAAAATATGTAAGACATCAATATTATGTAGCATATATTACATATGCAGAAGCGAATACACAGATAACAACTTTAATTAATAAAATAAGAGGGATGGCTCTTATATTTCTAAAATAAGCAGATCACAATGAAGCTCAGTGTATCTGGTCAGTATATCTTATACATTCCCTAAAAGCTTGTGCTGTATTTAGGTGAAGTCAGTTCTTATTAGTTAGCCATTGTTCTTTTTGGTCACTTTATGTTCTATTTTAAAAATATTATTAATATCAAAAGTTGGAAAGGAGCACAGAACAGTCGACTCAATGTCTTAAAGAGGTAACTGTTTCTTCTTTTAAAAATTCACCATTTTTCTTTTATATAAACTTTATTGCTTGGAAGTTCCATAATTGCAAATATGCAATTATATTCACTACAAAACATAGGTTTTACCCCCATAAACAGTTCAAAATATTTCAGTCTTCATCATTGCTGTCATTTCAACATATTTACAGGTAATGACAGAAAAAAATAGTACATGCTATTGAGTAAGGCAAATTTGAGGAAGAATTCAGCACTACTTATTAGCTGTACTGAACATGGGTTCTCTACTCATCCTCTCAAAACCTCCCCTCTCTACTGAGATAATGGCCTTCTGCTTTCAGTTATATCTTAAGAATTAAAAGAATCAACTTCATGCCATTCAGCAGTCCTCCCAATCATATTTTCCAAAGGATTTATTATATTATTTTTTAGCATGAGACACTTTGATTTTGTCTCTGACTTGTGTTCAGGGGACTTCCTAATTTAGACTCTTAATCCCAAATATAAAGATAAATGAAATAAAGAATTAAATAATAAATGTGAAAATGTTGCCCTAAAGTCCAAAACAAAGTTAGGAAATCAGTTGATGTTGTTTTTTTACTGTTCTTACTGAAATTATATTATACATATTATAAAATTATAAATTTCTACCTTGGTATATTGAAAAAATTACAGTACAATTTGGGTTATTTATTATGTTAAAAAAACACACGCAGTCCAAATTTATTTCCTCAATATGCCATCCATAAAAATATACTTAATGATTTAAATCATTCAAATTTCGAATGTGATAGTTGACTTTCCTGTTCTTCCAATAACTTACTATGTTACCTTGAGAAAGTTACAACACCTGTGTGGGATAGCATTTATCCACTTCATAGTGGGACTCAAAATTATACCTACCACTTAGGGTTGTTGTAAAAAAAAAAAAGGAAATAATAAAATATACAGAGTACTAAAATACACAGTCTAAAGTACTTACACCCAGTAAGCACAAATACCCAATAAGTTTTAACTAATGCATCATTAATCTTAATAGAGGCAAAGATTCTCTGGACACATCACCATACCAGTGTCATGACTCCCATTCGATCCATTTCCCTGGCAGGGCTTCGCGGGGTGAGTTTTGGCGTTGAGTGTCCACTGGGGGGAGATGAACTGGCCAGCGATGAAGCTGTAACGGAGGCAGTAATGGAGGTACCTGGGTGTACCCTCGCCAAATTCAGACCTTCCAAGCTCACACTAGCCACTCTATTCTCAATTTCTTCAGCACGCAACTCTGTTGATTCTTTTTCTTCCTGAATGAGCCTGAAAGATACAGTTTAATTTTGATCCATTATAATTAATTTAATATAAATCTTTTATTCTCTGCTGAAATGATAACTAGAATTCACACAATAAATCAATAAAAACTACTCCAAACATTTTCCATTAAATTTAACATTTTCATTTTTTTCTTCTCTAAACAGTAAACTTTAGGAAATTTTAGGAACTTCCTGGCTGCAATTTAGAAAATGTCTTCATTTAAAATGATATATTATTCCTGCTCTCAGTCTGACTCTCTTTTTGTAGTAGCTCCTACTAAACTTGTTTAAAACTTTGCAGCCTAGCTAATTTCTATCGCTAATTGATCTTACATTAGAACGCAGGCACCAATGTGAGACTTCTAAATCTCAACCAAGTCGCTGAATCTTACCTCCCAACCAATGAAAAAGTTTATATGATAGGATCCTTGATGGTCATTCATAATTATTATGGAGACAAATAAAATGCTGACTTTTTTTTTTTAACGTTAATGCATACTTAACCAAAACTCCTCTAAATAAGTACCAGGCAATGTAATAATGCCGAGATACAGTTAGACAGATAGAAGATAGATAGATATGAAAAAACATAATTTAAAAACACAACTTTTGATACAAATGCTTTAGATAAGGCAAAACACTAGTTATTACCCATTTTCTTTAACGAAGGAAATAGCTTCAAGGATATTTATACATTAGTTATTACAAAAGCACAAAGACTAAAGAGGGTAGGTAGGTTACATACAGATCCTATTTAAGTTGAATCTATATACATTTTATATATTGTTATAATCCAATTGTGTATTAGTATAGGTTTTTTTTTGAGAGGAGGGTCACAAACTTCTCCTGAGCTAGTTTGTTCTTAGATACAAAAAGTTTATTGTGATCTCCTATGATATGTAGCCCTTTCCTTCAAGTTTATAACTTCAAAGTTTTTCTTTTATATATTTAGAGTGGGAAACATCCTTTGTTTGCTATATTTATGCAATAGAAAATAGTTGTTTGGTCTATGTTTGCTGAGGAAAATTGAGCTACATTGCCCCACCTAAGTTTTTATATGTTCACTAGCTTTTTGATGATTAACTCACTGCTCTAGCTCTATTGTGTAACTCCTCCAGGCTTTTAGTAGCTTGTGTCCACAGGCCAGATGTAAATTATTTTGATACTCTCCTTACAGGTCATTGGTATAAATGATCTTTGTAATTTTAGCAGGCTCATTATAACAAATAAAAAGCATGCACTTAAAATCTAATCAAATATGTGTTTACATAAATTTATTTTGGTTAAAATAAGCACATTTATGCTTAGTTATGATCTTTCACTTACCAAAGAACATGAATTCTATTACTTTCAAAGTTTATTTTCATGGATTCATTTTAACTTCACCCCAAGGTTAGACTCCCAAAGGAAGGCTTAATCAAGTAACAGCATACCACGAATGCTTAAAATACATTTGAAAGGAAAAACTACCTTCCTCTCAAAAAAAAAAGAGGCATTTTATATTTTCAAATTACTTTGTAGAAAAATGACCCCTTTAGAAAAATCTTCTGGTTAGAAGCAACATGGTTCTGTTGTGCACAGAAGTTGTAGTTATTAACTCAAGCTATTCTATTAATTGTACAAGACAGCTAAATGTAGAGGAACAAGTTGGGTAAGAGGTAACAAGTTTAATCTAATAGGATAGTAAATGCTACTTAGATATTCAGTTTATTTGGAAAAATAAATGACAATTGTTTTATCTTTAGAATCCTGATATAGATATGAAAAACCAAAAGACCCACAAAATTGATTTCCTTAGAATTTTCCAGTGTGATGAGGAGGGACCTCCACCAAAATCACATAGAAGGAAGAAGGGAAAAAGAATATGGAAGTACGGCAGGTAAAACACAGCTAACTATGAAAGAACAGATCAAGGAACATTGCTATGGTAAATAAGCTTGAAGTAATTGGATGGAACCAGTGAGCCACGAATAAGCTAGAAAAGATCCATTTTAAAAAATAGTTTAATAATGTCATGAAAAAAAGAAAAATCTTAGCCAAAGATAAATTCTAGCTGGTGTTAACAGATTATCATGATTTATATCAATGTGATTTTTTTGAATGTTGTGGTGTAATCACATTTTATGTATTTTAAAAATTTCTTACAAATCAGCAACTATACAAACCTACATTCTTTATTAATCTAGGTCAAGATTGTTACTGGGAATTACTACTCCAATGTAATAGAGTTAAGAGTCTATGAAAAGAAACAGGCTGTTATTAAGGGTGTGTTGATAGCTTTGATAAGAATTAATATAACAAGAATATAGTCTTGATTTCAAACCTATTCAGTGAATTCATCCATTAGCAGAACAGCATCAGAACATGCTATTAATTAGAATTCAAGTTCTATATTTTAAATAAATTATAGCAATCAAGTGTTTACAGAGTACTTTCTATATATCAAGCAAATAGTACTCTGTAAACACATATCAAGCAAAGTGCCAAGACCTAAAAATAAAAGTATTACAGATACTGTTACGTTAAAAATCCCAGTGGGGGGGGCTCCAAAAAATGTTAAGTACCAGAATCCCAGCGGGGCCTCCAAAATGTTAGGTCAGACCTGCTAGGAGTGGTGTGCGATCCGATCCAGTGCCGCTCAAAAGATGCAAAGAATTCCACATAGATCATATTATAAATTTTGATCTCGGCCTTTGAGCAACTGAAGCGTTTGAAAAGTGAGAGTAATAAGAACATTTGTGTTTTAAACAGTCTGCTCTGGTTGCAGTTAGGTTGGGTTAGATGGATAACTCAAATACTATAAAGAAAGCAGCTAGAAATTGTTATTATTCTCCAGATGAGGAACTATTCTAATGTGCAGTAGGTGACTATAATAGAAAATTAAGTAGATTTAAATCATAGTAGAAGGAAGCCAACAGATTTTGCTAGACCCAGAAAGAACAAATAAAGGCATTGTTCAGAATAGTAAAAACTTGTTAATTAGGTTTTTATCAATTGAAAATACAAGTTAAGAAGAGTTTCCTGATATTTAAAAGAAAAAAATATCCACCTGACAGAGTCAGAGTCTTCATTGGGGTTAATCAAGGTAGTAACAGAAAAAATAGAATATCATTGAGATTCAAGAAACCACATATTAAATTGAAACTGAAACAATCATAGTGCCAGCATTTCTCAATATTTGAAATGTGAATATGTACTATTTCCATTATGTAATGGAAATAATCTATTATCAGGACACTGTGTGGTGCGAGTACATTTAAAAAATATATAGTATGAAATAATTCATAGTTAAAACACTTTACTCACATGTTTTATTGCCTTTGAAATGAAAATATAATAAGGAGACCAGTTAGGCTATAATACTAAATTATGTCTGGCAGATCTATTAAACCTTTTATGTTTAAAGAATGTAAATTAATTTAGTCTTCCTTGCTTAGAAAATTTGCACATACACTTCTCCAAAATGGTAGATAATTTTTATTGTTCAACCTGATTTGCCATAAACTTCAATACTAATATATAAAATAATTATCTCTACTGATATAATAGTTTCAATTAATCACCAAAATAAATCTGTAAAAGAATTGAGTCTCACTTTAAAATATGGCAGCAACCAAACTTAAAAAGCAAGTTTTAGGCACCAGTGAATACAATTAACCAGCCACAAGGATTGAGATTAACAAACGGCATTTTTCATGAAATATATTGCTATAGAAATTTAATTTTTATTATTAAGATAGTAGAAGTATTTTGAGTTTATACCATTATTTAAATACATTAACTTTTTAAAAATCTAAGCACTTCTGGCAAAGCAGAGCATCCAATACTGCTTTCAGCATATGCTCAGCTTTGGATTAAATTGTGTCCAGTTTGTAGGTTGAAGCTTTAACCTGCAATGTGACTGTATTTGGAGATAAGACCTTTAGGAGGTAACTGAGGTTAAATGAGGTCATAAGGTGGGGTGTAAGCCCATAAAATTAATGTTCTTCCAGGTCCTCTATAGAGAAGGACAGAGGCCCCTTTTACTGGAGCCGGTAAGGGAAATTTTACCAGAAACTGAGCCATACTGGAAACTTGATCTTGAACTTTTCAGCCTCTAAAACTATGAGAAAATAAATTTTGTGTTTAAGCTACCCCGTCTATAGTATTTTGCTATGACAGCTCAAGCAGACTAAGGCATACTCCTTAGATGTTGAATAGGAAAAAAAAAAAAAACAAACGACATATTTTTAAAGGCACTTAGCAGTAATAAACTTTTAAGAAATACATTATCGCTGATATAATGGCTTAAAATTGACAAATAGAACATTAAATTAATTTTATTTCAATGTTTAAATACTTTTAAGAGAGGTGAATGTACATTAATTTGCATACTATTTTGTATCTTTAGTGTTTTATGAAATGTATCTAAAAAATGAAACTATTACCACAAGTACTTTCCCTTTAAGTAGTAAATTTTAATTTTAAAAGTGCTTTAAGATTTATTGAAGACAATTTTATCTTTAATTCATCCTTTCGTATCACTCATAATGTCATTCATCTACATATGTTTCATGTATGTTCCTTACAATAGCTGCCCTAATTTTATACAGGAAATATATAGATATCCTGGGAATCTTGTGAAAGTGTACATTCTGACTCACTGGGTTTAGGGTGAGGTCTGAGATTCTGCAGGTCTAACATGCCCCAGATAATGCTAATGCTTTAGCAAATGTAATGCTATGAGAATTACATTTTTATACAGTATCAAGGTCTTCTAATTCCTTGAAATCATCAGTACCAATTGAAGTCACCTGATTTCTTTGTTGATGGCATCCAATTGTTCCTGAAGCATCATGGCCAGAGTCTGGGCATCAGAATGACCACTTGGAGAGAGAAGATCCATTGAACTAAAAATTGTTTCTCTGTCATCATCATCAATATCAGACATTTCAGTGTCACTTTCAAAAGGGTGGCTGCTTAGTACTCCAATTTGTTGAGTTCTATTCCACTCATGATCTCCAAGAGATTTTACCTGAATGGTAAAATGAACAATGAACATTATTTATCATGTTGCTCCTTCTCAAAGCACTAATCTCAAAGACAACAACGAAAACAACAACAACATGGATGATTTTTTAGTTAGCCTTGTGAAAACAGAACAAATTGTTAACATTTTGATTTATTGGTTTAATAAAACAGTTCTTTGGCATTTCAAGAAATTTTAGGTATTAATTATCAGCATATACATCAAGATTTTAATTGGAATAAAGATGACAAACTTCCATATGATTTATAGTTCAATTACATTCCAAGGTAACAATTACCTTAAAGCATCTACATTTGCAACATTTTTTCTTATTTTCAAGTATAACAATCTCTATTTGTTTATACTCAAACATTCACATTTCTTACACTGATTAGTTTTACCTGTATTTTTCTCACCATAGCCTCAAACCACAAGTATTATCGCACAAGAAATTATACAAGAATATATTTTTAGCATTCATTTACATAGACTCTAACAAAATATTATTAAAAATGTTATAAAGTGACTTACAGGCATACCTCAGGTATATTGTGGAGTTGGTTCCAGACCACCATGATAAAAAATGCAATAAAATGAGTCACACAAATTTAATGGTTTTTAGTGCATATAAAAGTTATGTTTATACTATACTTTAGTCTAGTGTGCAAAAGCACCAAGTCTAAAAAACTGAACATACCTCCATCAAAAATACTTCATTGTCAAAAATGCTAATGATCCACTAAGTTTTCAGTGAGTTGTAATCTTTTTTTCTGGTGAAGAGTCTTGCCTTAATGTTAATGGCTACTGACTGATAAGTGGTAATTGCTGAAGGTTAGGTGGCTGTGACAATTTTTAAAAATAAGGCATGAAGCTTTCCACATTGATTGATTCTTCTTTTCATGAAATATTTCTCTGTAGCATGCAATATAGTTTGATAACATTTTATCCCCAGTATAACTTTTTTCAAAATTTGAGTCAATCTTCTCAAAATCTGCCACTGCTTTATCAACTAAAAATATGTAATATTTCAAAACCCTTGGTTGTCATTTCAAGTATTCATAGCATCTTCCCCAGGAGTAGAGTCCATCTTAAAAAAACAGCTTATTTGCTCATTCACAAGAAGAGATTCCTCAACAAGTCTTATCATGAGATTGCAGTAATTCAGTCATGTCTTCAAGCTCCATTTCTAATTGCAGGTCTCTTGCTATTTCCATCACAACTGCAGTTACCTCCTCCACTGAAGTGTTGAACTCCTTAAAGTTATCTATGAAGGCTGGAATAAACTTCTTTTAAACTCCTGTTAATGTTTATTTTGCCCTACTTCCATGAATCATGAATGTACTTAATGATATCGAAAACTTTACAGAGGTTTTCAATTGACTTTCCCAGATCCATCAGAAGAATCACTATCTATGCCAGCCTTACAAAATACATTTCTTAAATAATAATACTGAAAGTCAAAACTATTTCTTCATCCAAGCACTGCAGAATTGATGTTGTATTAGCAAGGATGAAAACAACATTAGCTTCCTTGTATATTTCCATCAGAGTTTTTGAGTTACAAGGTTCATTTTCAATGAGCCATAATATTTTGAAAGGACTTTCTTTTTCTGAATGGTAAGTATGAAGAGTGGGCTTAAAAAATTCAGTAAACCATGCTACAAACAAATGTGCTGCCATCCACGTTGTTGTTCTGTGTATGAAGCACAGGCAGAGTAGATTTAACATAACTCTTAAGAGCTCTAGGATTTTTAGAATGGTAAATGAGCATTGGTTTCAACTTAAGGTCACCAGCTATATTAGCTCCTAACAAGAGAGTCAGTCTATCTTTTGAAGCTTTGAAGTCAGGCATTGACTTTTCCTCTCTAGCTATGAAAATCCTAGATGCCATCTTCTTACAATATAATATTGTTTCATTTGCATAGAATCTATTGTTTAGTGTAGCCACTTTCATCAATTATCTTAGCTAGCTTAGATAACTTGCTGCAGCTTCTCCATCAGTGCTTGCTGCTTCACCTTGTATTTTGTTGTTATAGATATGGCCTCTTTCCTTAAACTTCATGAAAAACCAACTTCTGCCAGCTTCAAATTTTTCTTCCTCACCTCTCAGCCTTCATAGAATTGAAGAGAGTCAGGAGTTTGCTCTGGATTAGGCTTTGACTTAAGAGAATATTGTGCTGGTGTGATTTTCTTTCCAGACCTCTAAACTTTTCTCTATCTGAGCAATAAGGCAGTTTTGCTTTCTTACCATTTGCGTGCTCACTGCAGTAGCACTTTTAATTCCCCTTAAGAATTTTTCCCTTGTGTTCATAATTTAACCTTTTAATGCCAGAGTCTTAGCTTTTGGCCTGTCTTAGCATTCAACATGCCTTCCTCACTAAGCTTAATCACTTCTAGGTTTTGATTAAAGTAAGAGATGCAACTTTCACTTGAACACTTAAAGAACATTGTTGGATTATTAACTGGCTTAATTTCAATATTGCTGAGTTTCAGGGAATAGGGAGGTTCCAGGAGTGGAAGAGAGATGGGAAACAGCAGTTGGTGAAGCAGGAAGAACATGCACAACATTTATAGATTAATTTCACTGTCTTCTATGGGCATGATTCATGCTGCCCTAAAACAACTAAGGTAGTAACATCAATGAACACTGATCACAGATCACCATAAATGGTACAACAATATTGAAAAATCTTTGAATATTATGAGAATTACCAGAAAATGCACAGAGACACAAAGTGAACACATACTTCTGAAAAATGGCGCCTACAGACTTGCTCGATACAGGATGGTCACAAACTTTCCATTTACAAAAAATCCCACAGTATCTGTGGAGCACAATAAAGCAAAGCACAATAAAATGAGGTATGCCTGTAATTTTATCTTCACTGTTTTAGTCAGTTAAATATCTGATTAATTTTTTAAGTTCAGGGCATGTTCATATAAATGGCTATATTTTCTGAATTGATACAAAAATATCCTCCATTTGAAGGAGAGCATTAAATAACCAATAGATCAGTGTTTTTGAAACTGTAACCTCAATGTCTGAGGGGGTTGGGCATAAGAGATAGGCTCTAGAGTTTTCTGCTTTGAAAAATGTGGTTAACACTTTTGGGATCATGTAAAATGATTTATATAGAGGACTGCACGATATTTCCCTGAGCATTGACTTAAGAATTTATAACTGAAATTAGCATTTATATTACCATTTTTTTGTTTTTTAGAATAAATGTCCATTTAATGAAAAGTTAAATTTAATACTGTATACAGGAGAGATAGAAGGAGCTTTCATAATAGTGAGCATTTTTTAAAATTTTGAGGTTAGATTATTTTAACAGTATCATTGAAGTATAATTGCAATAAAATAAACTTACACACATTAAATTGTGCAATTTGGTATGTGATAACACATAATTCCAACATGAATCTATTAGCATACCCAAGACAATAAACACATCCATCATCCCTCAAAGTTTCCTTGCGTCCTTTCTCTTTGTAGATCTTTTAACCTAGCCCTTGCTGACTCCACCCCATTTCCAAAAACTTGTCTCTCTGATTCTTTCAATGAACTTGCCTATTTCAATTTTTATATAAATGTAATCTTTTTGTTTGACTTCTTTCACTTAGAATAGTTACCTTGAAAAACATTCATGTCTGATTAACTTTTGTTTTGATTCCAAGTAGCACTGATTTATTTATCACACAATAATGAGAAAAGAACTGAGATAAACTTAATTTAGCTTTCATTTGTTCATTCATTTATTCATGCATCAACAGATATTGACTGCCTTTTATGATGGATTAATTTATGCACAACATATTGTTGCCAGTTAAAACCCCAAAAGAGCCACAAGCACCTGGTGCAAATAAGGACAAATGGGTTATATAGTATTTTGGATACATAAAAGTGGTTGGAAGAGAACAAATTCTACTTTGATCATAAAGGAGCTATATTATTTCTCTATAAAATACAACTATATTACTTACACAGCAAGCATAGCAAATATATTTTAAGTTATTGACTGAATGGAAGGCTAGTACTGCAATTTATCATTAACAATTCTCCATGACCACATTGAATAATCTGTGTACATTTCATTAAATATTTTTAAAATCGTAATTTGTTTCTTTGTTTGTTTTAGGAACAAGATCATGCTCTGTCTCCCAGGCTGGAATGCAGTGGTGTGGTCAAAGCTCACTGCTGCTTCAAACTCCTGGGCTCCAGTGATTCTTTTTCCTCAGCCTCCTGAGTAACTGGGACTACAGGCATATGCCAAAGAGCCTAGCTAATATTGTCATTGTTGTTGTTTGTAGAAATGGGGCCTTGCTATGTTGCTTAGGCTTGTCTCTACAAATGATCCTCCTACCTCAGCTTCCCAAGTAATTTTAATTGAAACATTTAATTAATTTGAATCAACAATATGAATGCCATTGATTAAGTGCCCAAGCAAACAAAAGTTCATGTGTTTGGCTATATAGCATAATGGTTAAAGCATAGTATTTTAAACTACTCAAATAATGGCCATGTTTTGATTCCATCACTTTGCTAACTGCATAAGATTGAACACAATCTGGGCCTCAGTGTTTTTATGTCTGTAAATAGTATAAAAATTGTACCTACCTTAAAATAATATATGGATAAGACAAGGTGGAAACTCAAAAAACAAATTTATCCAAAATTATGTATTTATTCTTACATGTTTAGACTTCAGTCACCTTCAAAGTACTCTTGGTTTGTTGTAATATGCCTATTAAGATGCTTTTTCTACTACTCAAAACAGTTTTTGAACTTATCAATTTTGAGGCCTTTTAGCGCTTCTGCCATTTTATGTTTCACCTCTCCCACATCAGCAAAACATTTTCCTTTGAGGACTTTTTCATCCAGGGGAAAAAAAATAGTCATTTGAGAAGAGATCAGGTGAATAGGGAGGTTGAGGCATGGGAACATGCTGTTTTTGGTCAGAAACGCTGAACGCTCAGAGCAGTGTGGGCAGGTGCACTCATAAATCAACCATCATGAAATGGGCAAATGTGTTGAAACAATCTCAAAACAACAACAACAAAAAAACATTAACTGAAGCCAAATGCAGCCTCTCACAATACTATCTGGTACAATGATGCCAATGGGTTCTTAGAACACTTACCTGGCAGGAGAGAAGTCTGTATTACAAGGGACCTGCCCGCTAAAAAATAATTTTATTTTTTTCTGGATCTCCCTTTGTATATGAAAAATGTTTTCCTAGCACACAGTAGGCACTTGATATTAGTTAATTTTTTAAAATGTCATGCTCTATTCTTCAAAGAACAATGTTAGCATTTTTAGTTCTCTCAATGTCAAAATTCTATTCAAAATAGGATGGTCTATTTAAATAAAAAGCATTGAAAGATAAACCTTTGGCTCATCTCTTCGAACACCCATGCGGCCTCTCCTTGGTCTTCTTATTACTTTAGTTGTTCTATAATCAGACTGGCTGTCCACTAGGGATCCCACTGAATACCGCAACTCAGCTGAGGTGTCCAGATGAGTTCTAGGGGGGAAAAAAGCTAACTTTAAAAATGTGGAAACATTTAAGGATCCAGAACATTCCCAATTTTAAAATTTTTGAATAAAATCATTTACACATTCTTTACTTTTCATATTCTACTTTTCAATTTGCAGAATTAACAAAAGGTTTAGTCAGATCAACCCAAGATTAATAGTCTAATTTTTAAAAATAAAATGGAATCTATCACCAGAATGACATTTTATCTTTTGATAAAGTGTTGTTCTGAAAGGATAAAGAAAAATTTTTTGATAAGCACATTTTATTCTGAAACTTGCTTCGAGATGAAACAGTTGGACAATTCTGACTGGAAAATTCTATTATGCTGGTTTTCAATAAACATGGCAATAATGTCCACTATAATCAAAGTGTAGAAAGGTTTCTCTAGGAATATTATTTATATATGGATTTTCAGCAAATTCATTTCATTGCTACAATAATAATGATAATCATAATGGCGACTTCATGCTATCCTATAAAATGAGATAACAGGACCATCACCAGTAGGAGAGATACTTAAAACAGTGTTTTCCGTTGAACTTGGGGTTCCTGCTGATCAACCATACTCTCTTCTTTGTTGTCCTTGTGAGCAAAAACAACTATTTCCAAATATTTAACAAGATTAAAAAGGTGAGGTGAGTTCTGGGTGCTTGCAACAGTTGAGGACACTGACCTAACTTAAGAAAGATCTTATTTTGCCAAATGGGAATTAGAACAAATGAACTAAGGAATCATTCCCCCAAAGAGATAATAGCTATTGATTGTTTTCATAACAAGAAACTTGAGCCTTAAATAAACTGGCTTTATTATGGGTATATAAAAATTAACAACTAGGTCATACTTAGTCTTTATCTATTGGGCAGAGGAACTGAGTTTCATCAAGACAAATATCAGATTTTAGTCAACATTTTATGCCCAGGAAGGTGTGCCTGGCACACAGTAAGCACTTCATAAATATCTGTTAAGATAATGAATGAATGAAATTTATTATAATACAGTTTCAAACAATGTATCTCAGAACAGTCTACCCTTTCCCTGTGACAGATTACATTAATGTCTCTTTAGGCATCACAGTAGAGTTTCTAACATTATAGCTCTTCATCCCAGGATTATTGTGTTCTTCTTGTTTTATCTCTCAATTCCAGATCATTTATAAAAATAGAAAACAAATCACAGATTAGTTTTTAAAAATGATGTGCCCTCAGAAGCATAGATGTTCAATAAATAATTGCTGCTAAATAAATGATCAGTTATTCAATAACACACATAAATTCCATCTGTTTACCTTTCTTAATAATTTCTATAATACTTTATACTTGTGACATGATTTACTTGTGACAAGTAATTCCCTTTGCTTACTTGTCTCATTTTATCTGCAAAGCAAACCTGAGAGATAATTAGAAAAATGTTATTTATATATATTCATGTAAAAAATAAATAATTAGAATTTGCTTTTAAAAAGGGTTTTCCATCAGCTGGGTGTGGTAGCGCATGCCTGTAATTCCGGCTATTCGGAAGGCTGAGGCGGAAGGATCGCCGGAGCCCAGGAGGTAGAGGCTGCGGTGGCCGGCAGCGGCCACTGCGCTCCAGTCTGGGTGACTGAGTGAGACTCCGACTCAAAACAAAACAAAACAAAAACAAAATTAAAAAAAAAAAAGGGGGTTTTCCAAGATCAGTCAGTAGTGATCTGTTTTAGAACTAGAAATATGAGTTGTCTTATTCCTGGTCTAGTGTTTTTTTACTACAATCTGCTGTGTCAAAGGATAATTGTTCAGTATGAGTCCAATGACCTTTCATTGTAAATAAATGGCACATTGTAAGGCTGCCCATGATGACTCACTGCAGTGATGGACTTTTAGACAACACGTTTACAATTCTGTATTCTAAGACCTAAGGCCAACAAGACAAGAAAAAGACCACTTGGTCCTATTAGCATATATTTAACTTGTTAATTAAATAATGCTTATTCTATGAATTTACTCCTCTGAAACTTTATCAGTTCTTCTTATACAGTATAATCATAATCTCCATCATTATCATCATCATCACCACGTGAACACATATCACTGAAATAACAATTTCCATTCAGATATACATATCAGAATTTTTTAAAAATTAGAAGTATGATTTTTCTCAATTAATGACTTACATATTTAAAAAAGTTCTTTGGGTGTTTTATGCATGCAAAATTGGGACTCTCATAACAAACTGAATATAGATATAGTAAAAGCAATATTCAATATTTATATTTATATTTATATTAAAAAGAGTGTAGGATATTTGTGATTTTTTTAAAATTTGGATTTTTAGCAGAGCATCTGGAAAATGCTGGCCAGATATTCATTCATTCAAAAATATTTATTAAGAGCATGCTATATCCCAGGTAGTTTCATAGGTGCTGAAACTCTAGTAGTTATCAAAACACACACAAATTCCTGCTCTTGTGGAGTTAACATTCTTAAGATGAACATGAGACCTAGAAAGATGAACTTTTCCTAAAAGCCTATGATGGGCAAAAGTTTCAACCAGTTGCTACTATTCTACATTATCTAGTAAATACATTATTAAACGAGTGAGTTTTCTAGGACTTTAAATAAGAGGACTTAGGTACAAAAGAAAAATTATATGTGAATTATTAACATATAGATCATTTAATTAATCTACCTATCAATTAAACGGTCATCCCATTGCTTTCTTCTTTTAAGATGAGGTGACAAGTCAAAGTAGAGGAGTATGGCAATATTTATTTGAATTTTTTAACATGTGTAATTTTTCTTTCCATCTTTATTTGCAATTACTTTAACCAAATGAGTAGGTGCTAAGTGATCAGAGTGACTATAAGCAATAGTATCTGTTTGATCACATTAAACATTGAACATATTTCTGCATGTTTCTGTATTGAACACATACAGAGCAAAGGGCTGATGCCTTTTCTTGGAATGACAGGCAATCTCTTCATTTAAGAATCTTTTAATGTTTCTGTATATACAATACAAAATACAATAGGTTTAATTTAAATATGGAATATCTGAAGAAAGAATTTTTAAATTCAAGAGTTATTTTTGAATGTAGAAATGTTAGCTGGGCTTGGTGGCTCGGGCTGTAATCCCACGCCTTTGGGAGGCTGAGGTGAGTGGATTGCCTGAGCCTGCAGGTTCGAGACCCACCTGGGCAGTGAGACCTCATCTCTACAATAAATCAAAAAATCAGCCCGGCGGTGTGGTAGTGCATGCCTGTAATTCCAGCTACTCGGAAGGCTGAGGCGGAAGGATCGCCAGAGCCCAGCAGGTCGAGGCTGCGGTGGCCGGGAGCGGCCACTGTACTCTAGTCTGGGTGACAGAGTGAGACTCCAACTCAAAAAAAAAAAAAAAAAAAAGAAATGTTAATCAATAAAGTGCCAAGTGCCACATAGAGTAATGACTACTGAGCAATAGGAAGTACTAGTTTATTAGAGTTGAGAAGATACCAAATTATAAAGAAATTCATATTTTTTTAGTGAACTATAGATACACTTTTAATTTAATATTACCTTGATATTGTGGGTTCAATTAAAGAGCCAGTTCTCATTTTCAATTGATCAAGTTCAGATCTCAGCTTTTCTATTTCTTCTGCTAATCTTTCCTAAAAATCAACAAAGTTTTACTCAGATGATAAGCATATACCAATAATCCAATGCTCAATTATGATAAACCAAGCTTAAATGGCTTTCAAAAATAAAAACACCTTGAACAATTATCATAATACTATAAGAAAGGGATTGGCAGTAGTGGAAAACTGCCAGGGGAGGGAGGGTGGGATTGGCAGTAGAGGGAAACTGCCAGGAGAGGGAGGGCACACCTTATCAATAAGGGTATCTGCATAATGAACATTTGTATAACTAATCCTAAATTGTACCCCACATCTTTAAAATAAAAAATGTAAAAGTTAAATAAATAAATAAAATGGTAAAGGTAAAAATAATAAAATAAAAACAAGGATAAATGTTCAGTAAAGATTATTAGACATAATAGTAAAACATGCCTACATTGTCTTCTTGAAATAAAAATGTGAACAGTATAAATCATTATAATTTATCTACATTCCCTAGCATTAACCATTCCTATGTCTTTGCAATTTTTTTAAAAGCAGAATTTACTGAGAGTACAGAAAAGTTCCCACAGTGGGAGGGGACCCGAAGGGGTTGCCCATCTTCGCAAATTTATGAGAATAGTATTGGGTTGATGCATAGGTTCGTAGTGTTTGGTTTTGGCATGGCAACACTGCAGTGTTGGGAGTTTATTGTTTATCATTTGTCATTTGGAGTGACAATGTTGTGCCTGGAATATGCTTTGCAGTTTGCAGATTTGAAGAAAGCTATTTCTATTTGTGGGCTAAAGAAGATGGAATGTCAAGTAGAAAAAAATGGACACTTCCAACAATATTCTTCTATTTGAGCTTAATGGAGGAATAAAGGCAACAGAGGCAGCTCAAAACAATTGTGCCATGTGCAGGGAGGATGCCATCGGGGAAAGCACAGCGAGAAAATAATTTTGTCTTTCAAAGAGAGTCACATTGACCTGAGTGATTGTGCATTTTCCAGGAAATCTCCAGCCTTTGATGAAGATTCCTTAAATGCTCGAATCCACAATAAGCCATGTCAGTCAACTCGTAAACTGACAAATGTGATCAACTGTGACCAATCAGCATGAGACATTTTTATTCCATGGGCAAGCGAAAAATGCTACGAACTTATGCATCAACTCAGCTATATAGACATCACTTCAAAATGCAGAGTGAAAATCCTGTCCAGTTTTAAATATAAATATAAGTTCTAATTTGTGCAGTACATAAAAAATTTTCATATTTTATGATGGTTAAAGGACATGTGGGTGAAGGAAAAAGAAGATTGGATTAAAAGAACAGGCAAAAAATCAACACCTTAAAAAGGAAAGCTAACAACCTAATTATTAGCTTGATATTGGTACAACTATTTATACTTCCAACCATTTTCTCAGATTGGCATTATAAATTTTTGCTTGTGAATTTCTAAAGATAGGTGCTGTCTTACAGCTTTTAATTAAATGCTTACATAAGCATTCCATTTTGTTTTGATAATTATAACTTTTATACTGTTACAAACATCTAAATGAGTCCTTCCAGATTTTCTAGTCCTTTTTTCTCTTCCCATTGGTTAGTGATTGATATTTACCTGATTCTACTTTTCTCATGAGATTTTTTGTCGATGTGGCTTTTGAGATGTTTCTCTCTTTTGCACTTTTTTCCTACTCTAAATCCTTTTATCTTTTTGTAATGACTTTACCAGCTTTGGTCTCTTACCTGCATATTCCTCTGCTAGATATGTCATTGTAAAGCACATGTATAATCAAATAAATGCTGTGCTTAAAACTAGTAGAAAAGACAAAACAGTAAACATAGCTGAGCGTGGAGGCACATGCCTGTGGTTCCAGCTACTTGTAAGACAAAAGAGAGAGAGAGAGAGACAAACAATAAACCAGTAAAAGTATAGGAGTAGAGAATGTTGTTAGGAAGGAGAAAATAGGGAGTCATGGAAGGACTCTTCAATAAAGTGATATTTGAGCAAAGACCTAAATAAAGAGAGGGAGTTAAAAAAAAATGTAATGACAGAAAAAGTCATGGAAGATAAAAGGAACAACAAGAGCAAAGCTCCTTGGTGGAAATATATTTGGTGAGGTAGAGAGCAAAGAGTTCAAGGGAGAAAGACAGAGAATAGAGTTTGTTTGTTTGTTTGTTTGAGTCAATGTCTCACTCTGTCGCCCAGGCTGGAGTTCAGTGGCAAGCTCACAGTCCCTGCAGCCTCGACCTGCTGGGCTCAGGCAATCCTTCTGTCTCAGCTTCCAAGTAAGTGGAACCACAGGCAAGTGCCACCATGCCCAGCTAATTTTTTTGATTTACTGTAGAGACAAGGTCTTGCCAAGTTGCCCAGGCTGGCCTCAAACCCCTGGGCTCAGGCAATCCTCTTGCCTCCGCCTCCCAAAGTGGCGGCGCCCAGCTGAGGAGAAAGTTTTTAAAGTACAATTGCAGGACTCAGGAAGAGTAGTCCTGGGAGGCATTACACACCATTTTAAATGCTCTGGCTTTTACGATGAATGAAATAAGAAATGACTTTAGGAGTGACATCATCATTCCGATGGCTCTGAAATGGACTGTCAAAAGAAATGAAACTGTAAAGGGTCTACCAAAAATATATGCAAGAAAATGATAGCTTCGACAAGAATGGTGTTAGGGAAAGAATGGCTATATTTTGATAGTAGAACCAATAGGATTTGCTATTGGACTAAATGTGGGATATGAGGTATACACAGGGGTCAATAACAACTCCAAGTTTTATAACCTGAGCAACTGAAAGAAAGACATTGCAATTATGATTTACTGAGAAGACTGCTGGTGGTGGCTTGGTTTGGTGGTGGTGGTGTTGGTGTGTAGGAGTGAGGTGGGAGGGGTTTGGCATGCTAAATGTGTGATACCTAGGTGTCCAAATGGAGATCTGAGTTGGCACTAGAATATATAAAATCTCTCAGGGGAGAGAACCCAGTAGGCAATCTAAATTTGGAAATACTCAATTTATAGTGCTTAAGTCCATGAGATAAGATGAGGTCACCAGGGACTGAACAAAGAAAAGAAATTCAAGAATAGCTTCAGAAGCTCAAATTTGAGAGAAAAAGATGATAAGGAGAAACATTGAAAGAAGAGGTTAAGTAAAAAGGATTTTGCTGATAATAGACTATAAGTATAGTCAATTTAGTGGAAGTTTGAAAAATTACAGAAGATGTGATCAGATCAGTGAATGTGCCCAACAATATGGTGTTATAGTTTAGAAAAGAGGTATGTCCTGGAATTTTTTGTTTTCCTTTGAGTATTGGCATAAACAAAGTCACAAAACATGAACTGATTAGTACTCTAGGTTGCTTAAGCAGATTGTTGACGCTATAGGCTTGGGTAGGTGGTGGGGAGTGGGTTCTGGGAATCTTTCCAAGAGCACACAGAGCTTTGGATAATATACCACAGCATAACAAGATCAAGTCCAAAATTCACAATCTGCTCAAAACCTAGTTCTTTAAATACATAACAGTGACAGCAAACTTCTGATGATTCATCAAATCAACCATCTTTGTTTCTTCTGTGCTGCTACATAGGACTCAGCCACCACCTAGAATGCCCTGCCCTTCTCTATCTGTTAAGATAATGAATGCCTTTAAGAGCTAAAATCTCATCCTCTCTGTGTAGCCTTTGTGAACTACATGAGGATCAAATGCCTTTTTCTAGGTGCCGTATTATATTGTTCTAATAGATCTATCAGGAGATTGTAGACACCCTGATTGTGGGACCAAATAGTTATTTTTTAATTGACATCATAATATGCAGCATCCGATAGGGTTAAATATATACTGATTTTCTCTTTCCTTTATTCTTAATCTTTCCCAATATCTTCTATATGCGAATCTGTTAGTAGAGCTTTCTTTTCTCCTTCCCTACCTGTCTTCTCCTCTCTCCCTCCCTTTCTTCTCCTCTCTTCCTTCCCTTTTCCTCCCTCCCTCCCTCTGTCCTTCTCTTCCTCCCTCCTTCCCTTCCTCCTTTTCCCTCCTCTCTTTCCTTTTTCTTTCCCTCTCTTCCTTTCTTCTTTCCTTCATTTGCTCTCTCCCTTCCTTCTCTCTTTTATCAATACACCATTATGGATTACTTCTTAAGTTAGAATTCCATCTTATTTAATAAAATAAGATAAAATAGCTAACAAGACTTTTACAGAGAAACGAAGAAGAATGATACATAGTAGCATTACAGCTTTAAGATTTAATAAGCTTAGGTGCGGTGGCTCAAGCCTATAATCCCAGCACTTTGGAAGCCATGGTGAGAGAATTGCCTGAGCCCACGGGTTCGAGACCAGCCTGGGCAACTTGAAGAGGCCTCATCTTTACAATAAATCAATCAAAAAAATTAGCTGAGCATGGTGGTGCATGCCTGTAGTTCCAGCTACTTGGAAGTTTGAGGTAGAAGCATCACCTGAGCCCAGCAGGTTGAGGCTGCAGTGGCCAAGAGCGTGCCACTGTGCACTGCACTCCAGCCTCAAACTCAAAAAACAAAAAAAAGATTTAACATATGGTCTTTTGCTGCATCTTATTTCACATACCTTTCCACAAAAATAATTAATTCCAGTCAAATTTGTGCCCATTAATTAAGATATCACACCCACTACTTGCCTTCTCAGCCCATCAAATACCTACAATTATGCCACATAAACAGTAGAGTTTTATTTTTCCTTAAATCTTTAGTCAGCTCCAATTTCCCTGAAGCTTTCTTCATAACAGCAATATATGGTGGTCTCTCCTATTTCTGCTTACTGCTTACTTCACTCATTTGGTACTTGGCATCTGCTATCCTGCATTCTCATTACTTTGTCAAAGGTGTATTCTTTCTCCTCAAATTATTAGCTTTTCAGAGCTAGAATAATGTTTGCAAATATATAACAGCACAATTCTTATACATAATAGCATTTAGTATATTTCTCCTGAAATACAAACTAGACACACATTAGTGCATAGATTTTTATTCCATGAATATAAGGCATAAAGCAAGACAAAACAATTTTTTAATGTTGTATGTTAAGGTAATGATTATGTTTTAATGGAAGAACAGTGTCTAAACAACTATGAGAAGAGCATCCAGAGTGTAGATTTTTTGTGAGTTTGGGTTACAAAAATTCATCAGGCTCTACATATACATGTACACTATTCTATCGGTATAATTAAAAAGTTAAAATTGCTTTCAACATACTAAAATTACTTTTATCAAATTTGCTTTACAAAACGTTTATCAGTGTGAAATAGAAAAATGGGCAAAAATTGTTTCCATAATACCTTATCATGTAGAGATTCTTCAAGATTCTTTCTGAAAGATTCTGATTCTTGAATTAAAACATTCTACAGAAAAGAAAATAACAGAAATAAGTAATACATTAAACATAAAATATTTAAATATGTAGATCAATATTCTAACATTCAAGAATCTTCGTTGGCTACTTTTTTGTGCAAATACTTCTTAGTTTCCATGGAAAACAAGTTTTAATGACTTTTTTTTTTTTTTGAGTTGGAGTCTCACTCTGTCACCCAGACTGGAGTGCAGTGGCCGCTCCCGGCCACCGCAGCCTCGACCTGCTGGGCTCTGGCGATCCTTCCGCCTCAGCCTTCCGAGTAGCCGGAATTACAGGCATGCGCTACCACGCCCGGCTGATTTTTTGATTTATTGTAGAGATGAGGTCTCGCTGCCTAGGCGGGTCTCGAACCCGCGGGCTCAGGCAATCCACTCACCTCAGCCTCCCAAAGGCGCGGGATTACAGGCTGCGCCAATGAAATTTTTAAATGTGACACTTTAACAGTTTAAGAAATACATTACATAAATAAGAAACATTATTTCATAACACTTAGGGGAACAAATGAAGTAAATATCACCATTTCAACTATTTTTGTTTGACCTATCTCAGACTACTTTTAAAATTAGAAGCTATTAGGATATACTTTAAATAAGAAAAATAGAGTAACAAGATAAATCTTAGGCAGAGATATTACAAAAAATTCAGATAAACTCATTTTTAATAACAAAAAAGAAAACCCATCAAAACATTTTTCAAAAGTTCATTTTCTGAATGACTATTTCAGAAACAGATTAACAATTTCTAATGATAGTTGAATTATTTTTAAAAAATACAAACTCAACTTAGCTACTCAGAAACTAATGTCACATGTCACAAAAGCATGTGAAAATAAGTTGCATAATAGATAATTAAAATAGTCCTAGCCAGAAAAGTATTGCAGTTGTTAAAAGGTTTTCACTTTTCTTATAGTACCACGAAGCATGATTTAAAATCATGTGTTCCTCCAAAATAAAAGCCCAAATCCAGGACATAGAAGACAAAAAAAATACAAAAAAAATAAATGAAACAAAAAGCTGATTCTTCGAAAGGATAAACAAGATAAATGGTCCCCTAGCTAGACTGACCAAGAAAAAGAGAGAAAAAGCCCAAATAAACACAATC